CTAGTCGAGTCCGAATACACTAAACTGAGTAGTACTTGACTTAAGTTAGTCAATAACCTAGTATATCCATAAAGTTTAGAATAGACCACTTTAACTAACAAATGTAACTCCATAACTGAGTTATATTTGTTCAATCCTAACAACAAATGATTCTGACAATGTAACTGAATTTTGGAAAAATATGAATTTTAACTGATTGATAGAATGATTAGATACTTGTGGATTTGTTCTTGATTAAAATAACTTTTACTAATGATCTTTACAATAATAATAATAACAATGATGATGATGATAATAATAATAATAATAATCAAAGGTGCTTCTATAACTACACCCATTTTACTCATGATTTCAGTACCACTCTACATTCTATGCCATGGTAACCACCTTCACTCTGTTACAAAGTCTTATACTTGAACGAAACAACTATCCAACACTTCTTGGTTTGTATTTAGCTGAAGTTAATCTGTGATGTAAAACTCTAAACTGTAACTATTTCCATAATCCTCGTTAACGAATAAATTTTAACAGAAACTGTAATTGTAACGAAAAGTTATTTATATAAGTAGAATATAATTACATTATCGTTCAGGTCATTGAATATACACAAAATGAGAATGACATATCAACCATTATAACTATGAGTCATTTCCTTTGCAAGGCAGGAAGAAAGAAATAGGGTGTGTGATGATGGGCGAGATAGATACGTTGTTTACATATTTATTTATTGCTTTAATCTACGGGTATGATTGGTCGGTCAAGGTTATTCAAATTGTAATGATTTATGGTATAGTATGTATTCTTCCATTGTTTCTTCATTATTGTGAATGTATCACAAACAGTATGACCTTTCTGTTTGTTGTTTATCAAAAAAATTTATAAACAAAATCAACAATAACAACTTAGAAAACAGATAAGTTTAAAGTGTACTTTTACCAAAAATAAACTATTTCAGGATTAGTATTAGAAGGGGTTTTGTGGAGATTTTAGTAATGTCAATAGTTGAGATCATGAGTCAATTGAAGCTAGATCACCATAAAAAACTTGGAAGCACTGGACGGTCATTTCGTCATATAGTGGGACTCCTCAACAGTACGAACCCACGACCCCACCTCGTGAGATCCGAACCCAGGACCTATCAGTCTCTCGCACGAGCGCTTAACCACTAGACCACTGAGTTGGGATTTACAAGATGAAGGTAACTCAAAATAACATTTACAAATGAGACAGAATGATAGAAAAAAATAGGCAACAATGCAAATAAAAATATAAAATGATCTTTTATTCACATTTGTTATATGTAATAAGCAGAAATCATTTATTTTTCTATTGGTAAAACATGGTTTGATAGGGTGTCAGGTTTATTTGTTTACTGGATTGAAATTCATTTTTATGAATGAATCACTCATGTGGATTAGGTGGATTAGTCGAAGTTAGACATTAACACCGTTGGATCAAGCGTACCCACGTGAGACCGCTAGGTCGAGTTTCGCGAGACAGGATCGTGGATGAACACTGCTGAGGAGTCCTTCTTCGATACTTTTGTGTACCTGAGAAGATCGTCAATATCATACGAAATTCATACAACGGACTACATTACAAAATCGTGTATGCAGGACAACTGACAGACTCATTCCAAATGAAGACTGGTGTCAGACAAGATTACTCTCGCCTTTCCTCATTCTTCTGATGGTCGACTGGATTATGAAGACCTCCACATCTCAGTAGAATCGCCGAATAGAGTGGACAGCTTGAATGCAACTATACTGTAATATACTATACTATTTGGACTTTGTAGATGACCCAGCTCTTCTATCTCATACACACTAACAAATGCAGATTGAGACAGTCAGTGTAGCATTATTCACTGCGTCAGTAGGCTTCAACAAGCACAAGTGAAAAAGCAATATGATGCAGTTGTGAAGGCAAGGATTAAAAAATCAATGACAGCATTCCTACAGCTGGAGAACATATGGGACTCAAAACAGTTGTGAGCCAACACAAAAGTCAGAATCTTCAATGCGAACATCAAGAATGTTCTACTGTAGGGAACTGAGAGATCGACAACTACTACAACCATAATCAGAAACGTACAGGCATTAATGAACAATTGTCTACGCAAGATACTCAATATCTGTGTACCGGATATCATCCGCGACAGCCTACTGTGAGAGAGGACAGATCGGCTTCCAGTTGAATAGACAATTAGGAAGAGACACTTGAGGTGAATAGGACGTACATTGAAGTGAGGAAGTTATCAAACTGGATCTCGAAGCAAGCCCTGGCATGGAATGTCGATGGTAAAAGGAAAGGAGGAAGATCAATGAACACATTGGGTTGGGAACTGGAAACAGACATGAAAAGAATGAGTAACAGCTGAATTTCGTTGGAGAATGCTGATGATTGGCCTATATTCTTTCACGAGGGGTGACAGGTGTAAGTAAATAACTCCTTTCAGTTTTTTTATTTACATGTTGAGTTTGGTATACAACAAGAACGAAACAACTAAGCTATTTTATTCCGGAACACATGTTCCCCGAGGTCATAACAGTCTAGAGGAGGAAGACGACCAAATAAAGGTTTTCAAGTGCAATACTGTCAACTACCCCCGTGTGATAGTAGTATGGTGATTCTCACGGCTGGTTAGAACCTCCACAGATGTTCCGTTTCCACAGACGAATGAATGGTTATGAAATGTTGATTCCTCTGCTCCAAGACTTATCAATGTGAATGGTAGCGTTTTTTTTGGGGAGACCCAGAAACTTCCTCAAAATATCCCAAAGGGACCCTCAAAACGCTTGAAAACTTTATTTACAATTGTTGTTCAAAAAACATTACATTGAAAGGTTTTAAAACAATCACTCAGCAGCCATTCTGGTATCAATGAGATGAAATCGTTTGCTCGAAACGATACTTACTGGCCTACAACAGACGAAGATATCAAGGCTAGATGCTGCAATTGTTCATCGTGCTTACAAGCGGCCAAAATTCCGAAGAAATGTGATCCACAACACTCGACAAATCCTAATAGTTCCCGGGAGAGGCTTATTGCAGATTTTGTCGGCCGAGTTCGAGGAGAAGTGTTTTTAGTCATAGTGGATGCACTCTCGAAATGGCCACAAATATATGCTATGGCAAATTGCAGTCAGTGAAACAATCAGCAAGCTATCTAAATTGCTTAGCTGTTTCGGAGCTCCGGAGAATTTGGTGACTGACAGCGGCTCAAAATTCACTTCAGAATCATTCAAGTACTTCTTCAGCATTAATAAGGTTACGCATATGCTCTCTCCAGTCTATCACTCTCAATTAAATGGACAGACAGAGCGGTTTGTTGACACATTTAAAATAGTATTGATGAAAGGTGGAGACGAGAGGACAAGTCTGGTGATTACAAAATTCTTAACTTATAGAACTAAGCCCAACCCTATTGTCATAGATGGAAATTCCCCTACTAAAGCTATGTTCGGAAGAAGTATTCGACGCCATGTTATCACTCACATCAATGGATGGATGCACACAAAATCTGACTATCCGAAGTTTTAACGTGGGTGATAAAGTAATCGTCAAGTCATGCCTCAGAAAAAATCTATAGGAACCTAGAGTTATCGAAATGTTTTGTGGATTAGACACACCAGCCAGATTTACAGAGTAAAAGGACGATGAACACGGTAGAGTCAGTTTTCCACTGGAAATAATTACAGATATCCCAATGACAGGAAACCCAACAGACATTCATAATCGCTGGACACCAAGGAAGTCGGGACGCCACCAGGAACCAGTCATCAAGCTCCAAGGAGATCCGAAGAATAGGCCTTATTTTTTTAAAGGAGGGTGTTGAGGAGATTCAGAAAATTCTTCAAAAAGCCCTGAAAACGCCGGGAAACATTTTATGTAATCAGAGTCGAATAGAAGTACCCCAGGAATATCTAGAAAGTGAAAAGTCACATCTTTCTCTTGTGTTCGAGTTGCCGAATAGATCTAGCCTGGGGGTTACTCGAAGACCTTAGGAAACTGAATCAAGTATTCAGTTGGAAGACTTATCACATTTGATACGTACGAAGCTAACAAAAATCAACTATGAAAAAACTAATGGTGATATCCTGATGTGTAGAAATTCAATTTTTCTACGTTTTATCACATAATGTGAGCTACCTCTTTAGAAAGTAAGTAAATGAGCGACTGAACTAAACAAATTTCTACCTAATGCTTAATTTGAAATTACCACGTCTAATCTTGATAATGATATCTACAAATATATAAGGTTGTGTGATTGGCCTTAAGTAGTTTCCTATTGAAATATGTGGCCACACCTTTGTTTCAGAAAGATGATCAATGAAAAGCCAGGTCCCATTTTAGGTTTCTTCCAGAAAAAATGTTCATCATCAGTGTGGGAAACTTACAGAAAAAACCGTTCGCATACTCACAACAGTACTCAAGTTAATCTTACGCTTAAGCCAATTTCTCGTTTCTCAATATTTATTTAACTCCTTCTATGAAACTTTCTTTTATATCATAGTTACCTATATGTCCAAATAAGGTTAACGATTCAAGCGTATAAATGAATATACTTAATCGCTTGGAAATGCGTTGATAATTACATGCCTGAAATTCGAACTTCGTGTTAAAAAATCACACAATAAATTTTAGTGGTCAAGATTGAAGTATTCCGTCCTACGGATACATTTTGTCTTTAAAATCATTCTAGGCGACATCTATACCAATTTAAGATGCTACATAAAGTAGGGTAAAACTGATAGCTGAGAGAAGTATGAATTTGTTATTTGATTAACACCATCTGATATGTGTATATAACTTGCAGGATATATATATATATATATATATATATATAACATCAACCGTGTTATTATGTTGAAAATAACAAATTTATTTATCTTATGCTACCATTTAATAATATAATTTACATATCATCAATATGAGATGTCAATGTTATTCAATCTTTGAGAGAAAATACAACTGACATGAAAAGAGCAAACAAACATACTTTGTTAAATATTTTTATTAAATTGATTTATACTACTAAGTAAGTAGGCAAAATATGAATGAGAAAAAAAACAAAGAAAAATCATAAAACAATTGGAGAATAAAATTACATTGACAACAACAACAACAATACTACTAATTAACAATCATTATGAATTACGCGGCTTGATTGATTGCATTTAGATAAAGAAACAGTTTCAATGTTTTAATATTAAACTGTTTTAATATTTTTATAAATATCTAAACCAGTCATTGTATGTATTAAATTTGGTAAACTATTCATAATTGTAAATAATTCACCAGTTAATTTTGAAACACCAATATCCCCTTCACCTGTACAAATCATAGTGACTTTATCACATTTAGTTAATGGTGAACTAATCTCGGCAGCAATTTTCGGTAATGATTGTAATACCATGTCTAATTTAGCAACGTTCTGAAGAGAAAAATAAATAAATAAATATAGAAAAATATTAGCAAAGTATATTTGCTTGTTAAAAGAACGAGTAAAAACAGAATAGATTTATGTACGCGTCAATTATTATTATTGTTATAAGCAAAGATGGATAGTGGCTAGCAGTGGAATACAGTTCGACGCGCGTTTCGTCCTGTTTGGGACTCGTCAGCTGGACGTACCTGCATCTCAGAGAGTTGATGTTCACTCTGGGACTTGAACCCAATACCTTCGCTCCAAACACCATCGCGTTATCCACTTAGCTACTGAGTCCTGATAGCCACTTGCTTGTGCAATGGGGTGAAGTTTAATTCACTTGGTATTGTTTTACTTGAATCTTCCCATTGATGTTTTAGGGCTGAAATTGATCAGTCTCTTATTGGCATATGCGCATCCTGTGCGAATTACCTCGCTATTGCCTTAATTTACAAGCATTATAAGCATCAATTATTATTATTATTTACTATTTAAACATATAAACATTGGTACAGGGAGGCACCAAATAGATATGCACTATATAAATTATTCGATTTGTGTGAGGGCTGTGATACTGCCCAGATGCCCAAACCGAAACAGCTGGTTTTCATAAGAGGGAACACCCGGAACCTTTGACCTAAAAGTCTAATCCACAAGGAAGTGGAGCAGTGTCAGGAGATGCAGTCCTATGGTAGACGGTGATCAATGGTTGATTCATACGCCATTTGTTCCCTCAGGATACTGGAGACCATGTGCACCATTGGTTTGGAATCAGGGTTTTCCAACTTCCTTAGGTGGATCCTCTATATCTATCTACCCGATTAAAGCACCGTACATTCAGTTTTCGTCCTCTCAATTTGGTAAACAACAGTAATGTCGCAAGAGGGCAGTGAGTACGACTTTTCTAGCAGGGGTTGTATGCACGTGGCCACTTGAGAGCATTTCGAGAGTGAGAGCTGACTCTCTCCACGCGTCAATACTGAGCCCCGTAAAATTTAGTTATGTGAAGGATAGCAATATAATCTCTCTGAATAAGTTAAGTAGATGGAGGGAGACTCAAACATGCAACTCAACAGTTGGTATTCGAGTGTTTTATCCATTAAGTTGTGATTTCAACAAAATGTGTGATTGTATTTCAAGAAACAACATCATTCCTCATGATTGAGCTAAACGATAAACAGTAAAAACAAATATGTATCATTATAAATTTCACTGATATTAAATTAACGTGGATATATCTCTGTTGAAGTCGGTAATCGAGTTCTATCCAACTTGTGTTCTACATAATGTATGATAATAATAATTTACACAAATAAGCCTAAACTAAGCATTCGTAGTAAATCTGTATGGTAATTCTGTTGACATTGATCCCTTTAAATCGAGTCAACCAAAAATTATGCTAACATTTTGATAAGTCTTCTAATTAAACGCTAGCTCTTCTAGTAACCCCAGGCTAGATCTACACAGCAACTTGAACACGAGAGAAAAGGCGCGAGATATGGAAGAAACGTTTTACTCCGAAGGTTCGTTTATGCACAGAAAGTCTAGTGTTTTTATAGTATTTTAGATGACCCTGGGTTTCCCGAAAATTCTGGAACGCCAGTAAACACAGTAGCCGTATAGGTAACCATTCAATCAGAAACTCAACATGTGACTTAACTTTGTAGATATTTCTGGCAAAACTTCAAGTGAATGTTAATTCAATAAGATGCTTCTCTCAATGTTTTCACAGCCTTTTTTTAGATTTTTTTCTGAGTTTTCTGGATCTCCCCAACAAATTTCTCATCGTATATCCTGGGACCATCGAGTAAGTAACGCAGTTGTTAGGAAACGGGTACTAGGTAAGGATGGCAAATCAATTGATGATGTGGTGAAGCTTCATCAGTTGAGATGGCTGGGACACGTGTTACGTATGCCCAACGACCGACTGCCTAGACGTACTATGTTCAGTGGTATAGGAGTAGGTTGGAAGAAAGCTAGGGGCGGCCAGACCAAAACATGACACAAATCCATGAAGTCACTGACAAGTGAACTGAGTCATATTGGTAGGTGTAGATTACCTGGTTGGGGACCGGGAGATGATAGCAACCGATGGTTAGAGACCCTGAATGACATGGCTCAAAATTCTTTGCAATGGTGCAGGTGCATACACTGTTTGTGTTCATCCGAATTCTAATCTCCTGATTCCTCCTTGCCTCTTTTTTCTCTTCCCAAATTTATTTCACTGGATTATACTCTTTAAATAACATCTTCAAACCCTAATTTTCCCGATTACTGCTTATACTCTTACCGCCTCTACCACTACGGGATTTGAATCAACAACTGCATCTATGTGCTAATGTGGTATGGCAACTCGAACTGATGTACGTACGTACCGAGTTCTACGTTGTTACTGACTGACTGACTGATCGTTCGTTGAATAATTCGGAGATACTATAAATAGATTTAATAAATTGAATTTCATTCAGTATATATTAATGTGGGGATATTCCTTCATTATAAATAAAAATAATATATTTGTAACAATGAACCCAATGCTCAATTTATTCGAAATTATCAAATCAAACCTTGGTAATGACACCTATATTCCTTCATTGTTGAGTACACATTTGTGTACTCACATTAGTTTATAGATAAAGAACTATAATTTTATTAACATATTCAGTTTTACTCATAATATAAAGGATAAAGAAGAATCAGGAGTTTAGAACAGGCGATTAGAGATGGTACTAGAAAATGATCATGTAATTGAGTTTATGTCTTGTTATTCAACAGACATTCTGGACCAGTAGTTGTTTGGTGGTTAGAATAATCAAACTTAAACTATAAGATAACAGGTTTCAATCTTATTCCATGTCGTTGAATTCGGGTGACAGAATAGTATAAATACGCTTCATACAGTGAGTGTAACTTTGATGGCAAGAGAATGGAGATAAACTCAGTTAAAATTCTAATACTGTCCTCTTTACTTTTCCTAAAGGTAGTATGATTGCTCTACAGATCCGAATACTAGCAATAATCAACTAAGATAAATACAAAATTCATATGCATTTAATGATGCGATTATTTGAAAGTTGGACCTTTTAAAAGTTAAGAATATTATAATTTCACAAGTTGAAATCATGAGTCAGTTGAAGCTAGACCACCATTGAAAACCTGCTCGCGCGCGAAGCCAGTAGGTCCTGGGTTCGAGCCCCGGGTGGTGCGGGGTCGTGGATGCGCACTGCTGAGGAGTCCCATACTAGGACGAAACGGCCGTCCAGTGCTTCCAGGTTTTCAATGGTGGTCTAGCTTCAACTGACTCATGATTTCAACTTGTGAAATTTCTAAAAATCTCCACAAAACCCATTCTGATAATATTATAATTGTATATACACTGATTAAAAATTGGCAGAGATGTAACTTAATGGTTAAAGCGTTAACTTTCAATAAATATGTCACCATTTTGAACCTCGCTCGCATAACTAGACTACAACACAAGCTTGATTATATGAACCCACAGTTGGTGAATGACTTACATAACAAATCAAACTTAGAAAGAAGTTGAGAAGTTTCAAACTTGTACAAAACTTCCATCGAGTCACAACTGATTGATCACTGCGTGGTGATCAATGTCATGCGTGTCTAGTCCTTATTAGTGCAGATCGAATGCTATCGATCATGTTGCAATGTGGCCACCAGTCTATATATATATATATATATATATATATATATATATATATATATATATATATATATATATAAACTTCCATCGAGTATCTATCTTCGTTTCTATGGTTTCCAAAAATTCTCTAAGTTATACCAGTCTTTTCAACATAGATTATCTTCAAGGTAATTTACCACTTATTTATTGATTTCTAGTGAATAATGCACTCATTTCACTTGGACTTTTATAGTACAAAAACACACCACTAATTGGATAGTATCAATCTAATAGTTGTGTGCAAAGTAGAAACCGGCACATATGTGCATAAGTTCACGTTGTCACACTATCAATAAGAATAGAAAACATTGAGCATAGGTAATATGATTCGAGAAAAAATTAATTCGTGGAATAAAATAGTATGAAATAATTTTAAAACTCAAGATCTAAGGAAAAACCGAGTGAAATCATTTGCACCATTGTCCATAGATTTTGAGTCATGTTTGCAACCATTTGTTACAACAATCCTATGGACCTTAATCAGGTAGTTTGCACTTATTGACACGACTTAATCCAGTGATTTCATGAATTAATTCCAGCTATTGGTTAAGTCACACTTAGTTTTCTTCCAACTTACTGTTAAATGAATTAACATTTTGTGTCGGGGTAGGGGGTAGGTAGTGTTAGTTTAACTGTAAGATCAAGAAACTATATACTTGGCAAACGAGCTACATTAATTATTTTGATTAATAAACAAATAAATAAGCAAACCTGATAATTTTTCCATGCTTCAGCTTTCTTTGCCATTTGTTCTGCCTCAGCGTGTGCTATAGCTTTTAATGCTTCCGCCTCAGCAAGACCACGTAGCCGAATAGACTCAGCTTCTGCTTCCGCCTCGGCAGTTAAACGCAGCCGGTCAGCTTCAGCGAGACGTTCCAAACGAAAACGTTCAGCTTCAGCTGGTTTCCGTACTGTCGCATCTAAATGACGTTCTTGTCGTACAATTTCTAATTCCTCCACTTGGATTTGTTGAGTTTTCTCAAGAACGGTGATTTGCATTTCTTCCTCCTTAATTTGTTGTTTAACTTTAGCTGCCTAGTTTTTGTTCCAAATGCAGGTATATGTATAAGAGAGACAAGAGAAGGATACATGAGATAAGAAAAATATCAAGTATTCTTTTTATGATTTAATTAATTAGTACAATTCGATATTCAGGATTTAAATACAAACTGACTGCGCAAATGAGACGAAATTCAAAACCATGATCCGTTACCCGAAGATATAACTGAGGAACAGTTAAACTACCTTTATAGTATTCAATAAAGGTTCAAATATATAGAACTGATTCAGCAACTGTTTCAACTGAAACTGACAACAACTATATTACGATTACGATATTATTTTAAGCTTATTCCATAAAATGCAATATATCTAAGTAGGTATGCAAATAACATACTTTAATTGATTCCGTAAATGTAGAATTAAAACCCGATAAAGGCCAAATAGCAAAATGAGGTTGAATACTGTTAGAAGTGTGTGAGTGGTTCTCGATTCTGAGATAGAAAATATTTTTTTATAAGGCCTGAAAAAAAACTAGGTTGGTAATGAATATCTTGTCAACATTTAGGTCTGATCACAGAGCCTAAGAGACCTTACTGTCTGAACTGAAAATCCTTGAAGTCTAATAGAATGTGTTATTTTTTGGATAAACCTTTTTCAACCCCTTCTTTCATCTATGGAAACGCGATATCTCCAGAGACACTGGTCATCTGTGAGAGACATTTTACTCCCATCACTCTTGAGTACTGTTGACAGTACGATCAAACGGATCGTTCTGATAAACTAACCAAACTGTTTCACTAAGGTAACAGTAATAGTTGGATCCGAACACAACTAATTTAAGATATTTAACGTGAACACATATTCCATAAACTTAGTTCTTTTTATTTCTTTAGGTTCTCATAAGTTGATTACAACCTACAGTATTTTAAGATCAAACTCATTGTAAAGTTACCCTACTTATAACAGCGAAATTAGTTAGATATGGATATGTTTTATCATGGTATAGTGGTGATTTAAAACAACTACAATGAGAAAAGAATCTGAATAATCAAACAGTAGGTTGTGAGCAACTGGTGAGAATCTAACTAAACATTTTGCTCCATAGTTTCACCAAATAAAAAAACGATAAATTAAATCCATTTTGAACTAAAAATTTAGAATCTTTATTATTACTAACATTATTGATGAGTTTCACAACGTTAATTGGTGCACGATTTACAAAAGTCTTCTTGAAACAATAAAAATAACCACATGCTAAAAAAATATCAACTTAGTGATATATATATGCATCATCCCAAGTTTTGTTTAAGGCTGAAAAAATTGAGAACTTTCGGTACCTACTGTTGCATTTTTATTAATGCTGAATTCAGATGGATGGAGATCTGAGCAAATGTGAGAACTATAGAGGCATTACACTGTAGTCAGTACCAAAAAACGTTTTCAGCAAAATGTTGCTGAACCAGATGAAAGACGCAATAGATGCCCAACTTCAATATCAACAGGTTGGATTATGAAGACCTCAACAGTTGAGGGAAAATATGGAATACAATGCACAGCTTAGAATCAATTAGACGATTTGAACTTCGCAGATGACAGTCATCCTATCCCATACACACGAACAAATGCAGATGAAGACAACTAGTGTAGCGGCAGTCTCTGCATCAGTAGGCCTCAACATACACAAAGGAAAAAGCAATATCCTCCAATACAACACGGAGAACACCAACACAATCACACTTGATGAAAAAACTCTGGAAGATGTGGAGTCTTTCACGTACCTGGGTGATAGGGTTGAAGCTATCACGAGTTTACTTAATCTGCGAACGAGAAACAAGACTCGGTGACCAAAGACCAGTAAGCTAGCTATTGATGCGACCCAACCCCGCTAACTAGAGGGAGAAGTCCAAGCTTGGAATGGGGAAGTGTATTCTGCAAACAGCCAGAAACGAGCGATAACAACAAACACGATTCAAAACGTACATATACAGTACAAAACCGAGAGAGAGTTACCAAATAGCATACTGAAAGACGCAACGGACCAATAGCACTTAAGATATTTCCCAGTGGGAAATACGACATGAAGGTGACAAGAGCGACTTTGGTGCGAGAATAAAGAAATTCAAATTTTCTAAATAAAATTACAAAATGAGGTCCTTTTCCAAGTGAGTTCTGGGGATCTAACGTCCCCAACACTGGGAAGCATTATCGGTGAACAAGGAGGATCAGATGCAAATGTAAAGGTGAGGATTGGCAAAACAAGGGACCACATTCCTATAATCGAAGAATATATGGAACTCAAAACAACTGTCAACCATTATCAAAGTCAGAATCTTCAGTACGAATGTCAAGACAGTCATACTGTACGGAGCTGAAACGTGGAGAACTACTATAACCATCATCAAGAAGGTATGAGTATTTATAAACAGTTGTCTGAGTAAGATACTCAATATCCGTCGGCCGAATACCATTAACAATAGCCTATAATGGGAGAGGACAAAACAGCTTCCAGCTGAAGAGAAATTAGGACAAGACTCTGAAAATGGATAGGACATACATTACGCAAATCACCAAACTGTATCACGAGGAAAGCCCTAACTTGGAATCCTGAAAGGAAGCGGAAGGGCAAATAATAAATTACGTCGGGAAATAGAAGCAGATCTGAAAAGAATTAACAACAACTGGAAAGAACTGGTAAGGATTGCCCAGGGATAGGGTTGGATGGAGAGTGCTGGTGGATGACCTATGCTCCCCCATGAGGAGTAACAGGAGTAAGTATTCAGATGGACAGTGAAAAACAATAAAAACAAACCACCGCAATGAAAAAAAGCATAGACATAATTCTAGTTAAAAATCAACGAAAAATTACCTGTAATTCATAGGCTAATTCCGATTCCGCTTTACGTGATTGTACTTCTTTCTCGTAAGCAGCATTTTGTAATTCAAAATCACGTTTTGATTTAGAAATTTCAATATCATTTAATAGTTTACCGGCAACACGTTGTTTTTCAGCTTCTGCCTCTCGAATACCAGCATCACGTCTTGCCTCGGCTTCACCGATACGTGCATCACATTTAACTTGTGCTGTTCTTGCTAAACCAAGTGAACGTAAATAACCCTACAAAGGGATGGAGATACACAGATAAGAAGATAACATTGATTGAAATTAGATAGAGGATTGTATAATATGACTGGTTTAAATCAAAATTAAAAACTGTTGGATTTCAACTGAACGACTTGGCACCTGTAATGAACCATAATGGTAGATGCATACTACCTGGTTCAAATTTTTGTGATAACCTTAATCATTAGTTGAAGATATTAGATGACGAGACCTAGAATTGGTCACAGTGACAGATGCATTTACTCTTTATCTTTCCATTAATACTTAACTTCAATATTAGTTTATACTTGTATTACTCGAATGCATATTTTCTTTTCGAACAATATTCTCTAACATCCTATTTTCCTCACTATCACTTATACTACTACAATTTAGACTTCTTCATTATTAATCCTGTCAATTTCATTTCTCTATGTTGACATGATATGATAAATTGAACTGACACACATTTATCCCAGGCTCTACGCTGATTAAGAGTGATCAAAACGTAAAAGCTGAAAAACAACATTATCAGATCAGAAGTATTTGGCCACTAGAACTTTTAAAGAGTCATTTGTGAATGATATATCATATGAAGTAAATCAACTGATAAGATATGGGACATGTACTGGTTGAGACTGAAGTGTGTTATATACATTACTCAAAGTAGTAACGTAATCTAGGTACATAGGATGGTGGGATAATTCATTAGAGTTCATTAACAACTGGTCTGAACTATGTACAAAACCAAGAATGAATAGGGTAGGCACTGTGAAATAAAAAATCCCCGGTTATTAACAATTTTAGCTGTTGTAAGAATCGATCATAGTCATGACCGTTGGATGACTGATCTTCTTAAATATACAACAAATATAATTATTATTATAATTAAATGAAACTGACACTTACAGTTCACACAATATTGATTTCAGTAGTAATACCTGTTATTGTCTCTTTATTCAATAGTGCGTATTAGATTAAACATTTTATGATTTATTATTCCACAGTTATATAATATACCCTTGTAGGCCAGGGTAATTTTACATTGGATTTCAGGAGAACTCGACTTTGACGTGACAACCCAAACAGTACAGCTCAATGCTGTTTAACAGGAGAGCCAGACACAGCCCAGGCTTAATCCGAGCAGTACATTCTTATATAAGTGCTTCTAACTTTTGCAGTATTTCATATTATAACTCATTAAATATAAGTTTATATACTCTATTATTTCTGTGTGGTGATAGTATTCTACTGCTCATATCAAAGTAAATGATTTGTTGTTTGAAAGCGCAGTGCATTTGACACCTAAATTATCATCTTAATCTGTTTAGTTCGTGTAGTAAACCCTATACGAATATTCATCAAGATTAGAACGAATAGTTTGACAGAAACTGAGCGCAGAGTATAGAGAAGTCATGATATGTGAAAATTATATTTCAAATAATTTCAGCGATTAAAATTTAAAATAATTCCAACGTTTTGTCCAGCTAACTTGTCTAGACTTCTTCAGGGTAATAATCAAAATCATCGGAGAAATACATAGCGTTTAACAATCAAATCTATACTATGTTAATCTAATCATATTTGGATGTTGATTTTAGTAAATAGGATAACATGAGTCAGTTAAATTGTATTGTATGCAAATCCACGTCAACTACTTCCTTACCAAAATCTATGGAAAATTTGAATGAGTTATATTATTACATCAAAAGTACTCCACAAAAATGGTAGTAAAATATAAGTGAGATGAAAGTCTACTGAGACACATTTCAATGATATTCTAACGTTATGTAGGACAAACTATAATAGACTAAAATAGCTTAACAATAATCTTTAAAGAAACTCTTCAGACTTTAATAGTTCAAGTGTTTTTCATAACACTTAATCACTGATATCCAATTTTCATTCAGCTGACCATTTCATTATTAACTATTATCTAATGTAGCAAAGATATAATACCAGGAATTACCAATTTAATTATTTAAGACCCTATAAGTTAATAAAAACTCATCAAAGTTTGTAGGACAAAATAAATTCATTATTCTACTTCACGGTTTCTTATCAGCTGGACCCAACATATAGTAGAATGAATTCATTTTTATTGTCCAAACCTTGTTATTCTTGCTTTGGTTAAATTTATCAACGGATCTAGTTGGAAGAAATTCAATCACATCACAAAAAGTAGTTATTGTAACTTCGTGATCTACCAACCAATAATAATAATAATGAACAGAGATAAATTGTGGGTAGCAGTGGAATCCGCGACGCGCGTTTCGTCCTACTTGGGACCCATCAGCTCGATGTACCTTCCACCATCCATCTCTGTTCACAATGCTTCTGACTTGAGGCAAAATGGGGGTAAATTGTACAACATACATATATGCCAAAAAGTTACTGATCAATTGCAGTCCTAAACGTCAATGGGAAGATCCAAATAATCAGTACAAGATGAATAGTAATAATTATAATCTGGCGTTTTTAAGTGGCGTTACAATCTCTGAGTCTATACTGTATTACCAACAATCACTGAGTTCCAAAGAAATACAGTTAATGAACTGTAAATTCAATTAAACACGCACTTTGAATTCTACTGTTACTAACTATCAAGTGTAATTATATATATATATATATATATATATATATATATATATATATATATATATATATATATGGACTGAGTCATGTGCACAGGTACATGCTACCTGGTTGGGTACTTTGGGTTGAATTAACTGAAAACCAGCCTCAATGGGGCAGATGAGTTCACTTGTTTTTTTCTCTTAGATCCTGACTCTTAAAATTATCTTATGCTTTTCTATCCTGAGAATTCACTCTATTGTCTAGAATCATATTGCTTATGTCTAATCTTGGCAAACACCAATTATATTATTACTGTTGAAACAGCTCCCAGAAAGCGAGATGAAGCTTCCAGGGGCTCCTCAAAGAGCCAAAAAGATCCCATCTAATCACAGCGCCCTAGAATTAACGTGTGGATGGACAAGTGTATAAACTTCTTGCATGATGATTGGGTACCCCAAAATGCCCTGGTAGGGATGAGGATGGGGAGAGTCCGCTTTCCCTTTCAAAGTGCTCTCATATAACCACGCGTATAATAATGATGTTACAGCACATATGTAAAACTATATATACACCTGTTTTTCTGTACATTTTGACACTGTAGTAAACGCTTGTCCTACTTTCTTCTGACTTTTAACCTGCGAATTGAGGGTTCTACACGTGCAAGTGCTGAAGTTGTAATCAAGTAGTAAAAATAACAGGTGCTACTTTTATTACCCTGGCATTTATTTAGATACTTTCATTTTTCAATGCTGATATGATATGACAACTTGAACTGATATTTATATGCACCAGATTTCAAGTTGTTCATAACTGACTGATTAATTTATGCAAATATACATAGAAAATTTACAGATAATTTTACTAGATTACTTTATAAATTACTTAAACTGATTAAAATTAACCTAATCGATATGCTCAAACTAGTAATTTTTGAATGGTAACTAGATAAATAAATGATGTTAATCGAAACAAATATTGTTCAATGGTGTGGCAACTCGAACTGATGTACGTGCGTACAAAGTTCTACGTTGTTACTGACTGACTGTTCAATGATGAAGAGAGATTAACAAAATATATTAACATGACAATTTGATTATTTTAATCAACAAATATTTTATGATAATAAGCATCAATAATTAAATTTGAACATTAAAACCCAATGAACTACTACTAGCAAATGTTTTAATGTTTCTATTAAATCAATAAGGATTATCAAAAATAACCTAAATTCAAGATTTAGAGGTTATCTTTTTTAATCTACGAAAAAATAACTTTATATTTGATCAAGAATTTAGATATCCAAAAATCAGAGAATCTTTATGTTTTATGTGGTATGAAGTCACATGACTGAAAAAAAAATCTGACTGATGTTGAGTATCAGGTATGGAATTTCAACTTCGATCGGTTAACTGTTAGTACTCAGTGGTCAGTTAGTGCAAAAAATATTAGTCTTACAGGATAAAAATTGTTCAGAATAATTCAACAGCACGTCATTGATTAAGACATTGCGTGACACAAGCACTAATCTCTGATGAGTGTTGATTTCTTTAAAATTGTAGGTAATACTGATAGAAGAGTGTAAAAGAGTATAAAACTAGGGTTTAGGACTTCCTGTCGATTTACACTAATCGACCATCAAGAGATAATCATTATCATTTTTGCTTAGTTCTTAATGCTAGCTGATTTTATCGATCAAGTTGCAATATGGGTATTCGCCTAAGTAATTTGACGTTATCTAGGTTATATTTTGATGTAATAGCCCTTTGGAAACTACCTCCAACTATCTACATTCTAACTGACTGCCTAAAGATACATAACATTAAACAGAATGGATCATGAACTCAACTTATTCAGTAAAGTGATTTAGTGAACTGATGTTACTGTACTCGTCGTGAGACATAAAGGTTCTGGACAGCGTTTTATGAACAGGACCTCCAAAACGGGACGAAATAGGTATTCAGTCCTCTAAAGTTTTCCCCAATTACCTAACTGATGTCAATTTATGATGATAATCATAGCTAAGTTGGAAAAGAATCTCGAAGAACCATATATCCAAATAAAAATTATTACTACATACATACCTCATCATCTTTTATATCTTTTAGTGTATAACTAACTACACTAATTCCCATATTCACCAAATCCGAACTGGCTACTTCAAAAACAGCTTTTGAAAATTTTTTTCTATCTTTGTATATTTCTTCAACTGTCATATTGCCCATAATAGCACGCTGATGACCTTCAAGTGTTTCTTGAGCTATTTCACGTATTTCATTTTCTGATTTGCCAAGAAATTGTTCACATGCAGCCGCTAACATTTCTTGGTTACTTCCATTAATTTTTACCTAAATTAAGTTACATAAAAGTAAAGATGAGAAAGCTCCAATTATTGAATTGTTAAACAACATAAACCGAGAGTCCTTCTACGGTGGATGTAATTACTGAGAATCTTTAAAGTAGGTATCTAGGACATGTCCAAAAATGATGATTTAACCGCTTCAATACAAATGTTCACTGTCTACTTTCTTGTATATAGTTCTCTATAACAATCTTTCACAGAGGTGATGTTTTAGTCTAATCAGCGGTAAAATGTTTCTATAGTTTCAGTTAGTTTGACAGTAAAATAATGAAACAGAAATTATCTTGATATAAAACTAACTCACACTCCCCAGATTTTGAAAGTATCAACAACTAGCTAGATACAAGACAGAATAATGGGAAAGCTAGTGAAAATAACTTTCTCAAGAAAACAATGCTTATCGTTAATTTAAACACAAGTATTGGTACAAAGCGGCACCAAAATATATATGCGCCACACAATAAGAAAATGAGATTGAAAAGGGATAGGGAAAGAAATATATGGTAAGAAACACAACAGATGAACCAAAATAAGTAAATGAGAGTAAAAAATATAATAGGAGAAACAGTTCAATTAGGAAAAATACAACTATAAGGAATTCTTTCAGTCCAAGAAGTTCCTCTTGTTTGTATGAAAGTAAACGAAAACTGCACTAGAACCACCATTAGCTTTTATTCTGAGTCATGTCTGATAACGTCTTCTGAGACTGTGTTGTACTTTCTATGAGACCCCAATCAGGGAGTCGTGAAGGGCCAACGGATACCAGTTCTGTACAGCTTTATTGTAAATCACAGAACCACGTCACAGACTGACCAGTTCTGTTTTTTCCAACTAGCCCCAGGGTCTGCAAATAGTGTACGATATGAAATTCACTGGGATGAAATGCTTAGTACATGTCCAAGTTACCAAAGTCGGTGTTTCAAGATGGTGATATAAACTGAATTATCGTTGCTGTGCCCGAAAACACGTTGGAGAACCTCTGAAGTAATAACATGGTGCTATCGTTGAATGTTAGGGATCTTTTGGAGGCAACGATGATCAGACACAGAGAATCGCTTAACTTCCTCAAGTCAGAGAGGTCATGTTTCCCAAAATTGCTCTTACCGACGCGCTGTAAATCCGACATTTTACAGAGTCTATAATCACGAAGGAGCCAAAGATGGCCCAGACTGGTATAAAACTCTTGTTATAATCTCTATTATTACAACCCATCTATTCCTATTGCTTAGTATCCTTGGATGACAATTCATTCGACAAGTCCCCGAATCAGAACACGTTGAACGGGAACGAGACTATATTCCAAATATCAAGGGTAGATAGAAGTAAGAAGCACAATAAGAGAAACGTTAGTATATTTACGGTTTTTACTTGAGAAGATTTTAGAATCTTCTCCAAGTATCGACTAGCGCTGATTGGATAGGAAATAGCCAATCAGCGTCCACGGAACGTGCTTTAATCCAATCTATATTCCGCTAACACCTCTCTGACCTACACTATACCTAATGTGATCTCATCACTCACACCAACGGCAACACTTACAAAACTACCCAGATACACGAACTTCTTGACTGCTTTTAACTGCTCACTACCAAGAGTGTAGGCACAGGCTCCTACATAGTGCATGACAATATAATCCACATACCCAAGGTCGAAAGGCTCTTCTCCAAGTAATAGATCTAAACCACCATTACCCGCTTTCATCAGAGCTGTTTCCTAAAAGTCGCTTATGGGAAAATTGGGGAGTAGTGGTGATATTAGACAGTCCTGCTTAATCTTATTGATCGAATGGAACAATGAAGAGAGGTAGTTGTATGCCTCAGGTGTTTGTATATAGACACTTTAAGATGTTGATAAACCTTTCAGTCAAACCCTTCATCAACAGAATCCCAGAGAACAATCCTCTCTAACGGACAGACTACATAAATATGCCAAAATATGGTTAAACTTGCTGGATAGTTGAAAGTAAGCATCATATATTATTACTGATTGAGATCACTAAACACAGTGTACCGCAATATTCAGTAAATTACCTTAGCTATGTTGCTAATATGATCAACAGAACTCAGTTAACATTTAAACTGGTGGAAATATTATCCAGAAACAGATAAATAAGCAGATAGCTTTTTAAATCTTTGTAAAAACATGGTAGAGTTAGTAAGGATGTTCAAAAACTGACTACGCTAATACGGTCATTTGTGAAAGCCGAATATTATCAGGTTAGAGCTTCACTTCTAATGAAACTAAAAAAAAACACGACATCAAGTAGACTAAATCATAATTCTAAGAAAGATCCCGTAGCATTTGTTCTTTTGGTACTTGTTTGGCTAGATAATTATAATTTTGCGAACATTAGTTTTTGTCTCCTTACTGAGAGTCTCACGAAATGTAAATCAGAAAACTTATAACATTAAGTATCAAGAATATATATCCTACTACTGAGTAGATAAAATGGTATAACCACAAACAAACATACTTGTGCAACACCAGTTACTGTGATAGGAACACCAAGCTGAGTGTAGATTCGAGGGCTTTCGATTATTAGTGTCATTGTATTCAATGGCATCCTTCATTTGATTATTGAAAAAAAGTGAAAAGAAATACAATTGCGCAATATTCAAATTATTTAGTAATCACAATATAAAGTTAACTAATTAGAAAAGGTCGAATTTAAATAATATCCCAGCATACACGGTTCAACGATAAGAAATACAGTGGTGGATTAAAGACTGAGGTATAAGAACTTGAATTCATGAGATGTACATTTGAATCTTTTTTCATCTACTTTAATTTCAGAAACCGCATAACATCACTAACCTACAATGGGTACGGCCCAAAGTCAAGTAAAATGTCTACTTTATATCGGAGGTGTGTGCTCATTTAAAACTAGAAGGAAGAAAATTTGACCACGCAGACTTTCTTAAAGGAGCATGATAGACTGATGTTTTAAGTTTACATCAAAGAGTAAGATTTGATGCTACATTGAATTACAGTATCCTCAACACAAACCTCGGGGAAATCGGCTGAGTTAGATTATAAGTACCATAAGGGTTACATCGTAGCCATTTTCAAGTTTATTCCTAAATTCACATACTTGATTATCTGCTGCTTTAGAACTTGTTGTGAGATAGCTATATACTTTCTGAAGTACATGAGTGCAAAGATGAAGTTGTTTCTAGGTGAAGATTTGCGTAGGTTGTGTGTGTAGTGTGGTCAATAAGGGGGATACGATTAAGATATACCACCCAGTCGAAAACTTTCTCAATCTTAACAAATTACCTTTGCGTTTTGGTATCGGGAACCCAGTATCAGGACGCGAAAAACCAATCACAAAAATACTTACAAACTTTTGCTCCCCTATGGAATCCCTTTCTGTATCAGATAGTGGTTCAAGCACAGATCCTGAGGGATAAATAGCTGATGGAGGTACTCAGTCGACTTCATTGACAGGCTTGAAAAATAAATTGGGTTCAGTGGCACTGAAGGAGACATCTCCAGGTGACTTTCAATTACTACTAGTGTTTTTCCTTAATATTACAGAAGACTGAACAGAAGTATGATACTTTCTTAACTTAAACTGCCATCAATAAGTCAGGCACAGATTTCAAGGAACTAACAATTCTGTTCAGAAAAACTTGATATTTGCTGAAAAATGCTAACGGAAAAATGTGACACTTGAGATTAGATTCTAATTATTTTATTAGTCGAGGATTGTGACTGCAGAACCGCCCACAAAATAATATAGTGTTAATATCCATGCTTAATAGTATTTATTTAGTGAGAGCATATTTGTTGTCCAGTTAGTTATTTTGTCCAAATTGCTTTCAAGGATAGTGAAATTTAATAGTTTCCAAATCTTCAATCAATTCTCAAAATCTAAACAAAGTAGATTTATAGGGAGCATTCGGTAAATGGTTGATGGATAGGATAAAAGATGTGGGTCGATAGTGAAAAAATATGCTATTCAACTAGTTATGGAAAGCCCAGTAAACAAAAATCAAGCTCGAAAAGTTTGTAACGTGTCATTGAGACAATCCTACACACATTTAAGCAAATATCCAAGCCAGGCACTTCACGATATACTGTTTGAGGTCTAACAGAAGGATACGACCATGGGCACTTCATCTGAATTGAGGGATTAATTGTTCAGTGATTGGCAGATTGGTAAGAAGGTACCTTGGAACTAGATTCACTAGTAGATCCGTTCATTACTATTTTCATGACTTTCGAAACAAATGATAGGGAGGGAAGTTCTCACCCTTTTTTGTCCGCTGAGAATGACTGATTCTAATATCCAACGACTCAGAATCAGCTATTCGGAGGCTCGACATTTGGAGTAGAAGGCAAAGTAAGTCAGCAAAATCTTTTGACGTACTAAGCAAAATATCATTTAAACAATCCGACTCATTTGGATCTAAATGGTCCGAAATAAGAGAGATAGAATTAAATCACAAGGAGATTAAGAAAGGCGGTGGACCTGCTTCCTACCATAGGTGGAGTGAGGTTTATTTAGCCAAAAAAAAATAATAACCTAGCAGTGACAATTATGAATCGATAGGGATTTTTGTGCTTGCACGTAGACAGCAAAGGCCCTCCTTATAAATGAATTCACGCAAAGGTCATATGTTGCCTAAATTTTAAAATAAGTGTACCACACAAATAATTCTATTGAGAATAAGTTAACAGAACTGTCTATACAAGATGTCTACATCAATATATGTGACATAACCCGCATGCTTTTTATGATTTCACTTTGGGATTGTATCCATTTTTGAAAGAATGAAGGGAGTGAATAAAGTACTGTATTAAAATTGAAATAATTAAGAATCATGCCCACCTTTCCACTCTTTGAATTCCTGGCCAGACAAATACTCGTCCACCAGGAACTAGTAAGGGACTTTTATGAAAGCAACCTGTGGCATTAAGAAAAAGTTAACGTTTGATCAGAAACATGCCAGAGACAACCATAGCCTCATTCGGGCCACAGGTATTAAAACCCCAACCCATTTACAGTCGAAGATGAAAACTTAAAATATCCTCCATAATAAGGTCATAAGAATGACCTCAAATAAATAATAGTTCAAATGGTTCAAATGGTTGGGGACGGAACAGAAGGAGCTTTCGCTTAACGAGCTTCCATGTCTAGTAGCAGTGGATCACCAATACCTCCAGGCTGGAACCTAGGTATATTAACGGCAAAAGAGGAAAAATAAATTGGTAAATCATAGTAAAATACTATCCTTAGTCCTTAAGAATAGGTTAAGTTACCTCTAAAAGGACTCCTAGGAATTCTCTTAGACTAGCTCAGCTGGCATCAAATTCTATCATTTGACAACTCTAAAGAAGTAGTTGTGTCTACACTCTGTTCTGCTGTGTTGTGTCTCCAGTTTCTGGGTGTTACTCCTTAAGTTTGTGTTGTAGCTAAGCTTAAGTTGATGTTTGAGAGGATGTTCAGAAGTGTTAGGGATGCTGTAAGCCATTAGAAGGTCATCTTTAAGACGCCTACAATCTAATGGGTGAAGGTTTGGTGGTTGGTGTCGCTCTTCATAAGGCTTGAATTTGAGTCCCCGAACTGATTTCATGGCTCGCCGTTGAATAATCTCGTATTGTGACGGTGACTTAAATTAGTTACGAGACACTGTATGCAACCTAAATTGTCACTATCGGAAAGCCAAGGTTTCTGTTACGCCAAACACTCGAACTGCGTGCACATATTTGTATCGTCTCACTGCGTACATCAATTTACATGTGTGTGCGGGAATACATACAGCAAGGTGGACCGTGAATTGTAAGTAAGGCTAAGTAAATTCATAACTAAATGGCTACGAGAGAACATGACTTTCAGCGGTCGAATAAGATCACAGGGTAGATGAATATCTTCTTCCATCGAGAAACATTTGGTTAAGACTAGTCAAGTTATTATAGTCTGATGCAAGTTACGAGAAGGTATACTAAGGTTTGTTGAGGGCTAGATTATGAGCGAACTGAAACCTCCATTATATGTTCAAAAGCAATCTTTTATTACTTTGGTACTTTGGTAATAGCGATTTGATACTTAGCGTGATTTTTACACTGTGTATTTAATTATTATTTTTCCCTCCTTGTAAATTCCAAACTGTCTAGTTCTATTTCTTCATATATAATGCATATGTGTGATCAGGTTGCTTAAAATGTATTGGATAAATATATCTCATGGTTTTGATAAACTTAATCTTATCATCGCATTAACGACGCTTTCGACAACATCAAAGATACAGAGTGGAGTTTCACAAGCCTACAATCGTGACTGTTTACTTTGTACGACGACAACTTGCGTCTATTTAGAATACTGCCCCAGATAATAACTACAGCCTCCTTAATTCATAGCTTCAAGAGGAGACCTGAGAAACAAGTACCCACCCATGCATTGATATCTTCATTTTGAACCAGCAGTGCCTGTTAAATGTCTCATAATTTACCTAATATTATCTTTATTACGTATCAGTAACTAATTCCTATCTCTCATATCAACGTCTCCGTTTTCATTCTAATTCTTACCCCCTTGACTTCTTACACTGTTTCGATTACCAATTAACGCGTATATTTATTTATTGCAACAATCGTCTTCTCTTAGAACCTGAATGTTCACTTGCTTACTTCACATAGTTCAAGCAACCAGCCAACCTCCTTACTGGTAGTGTAGTAACTGATTGTACCCAGAAAACCAGCCGCTCTAAGACAAACTCAAACTATAAGATGAAAAACCCAAAAATATCTACTACAAAACTGAATAGAACTAGCGCAACTGAGTGACTAGACTACCACCAAATGCCTGGAGTCGTGCTGAAGCAATAAGAAGCGAACGCAAATAAAGCAATCGATTTATGGAGGCTCGTGACATGATATCAGGTATTGTACAATAAACCAGCGCTTGGTTACATAAAAGCTGCGAAGTTTCGAAATTCTACAATTTTCATTATTTCACCATTTGGTAAAATGTTTTTCAAGAGTGTAAGAAAAATGTTGGGCTGGGTATCATATAATTATTCACTTTAATAAAAGGTCTGGTTTCTATCTTGTTCAGCGACAAACAACCAATGAAGGGGATATAAAGGCAAACAATGGGGGAATAAAAGAGAAGATGCGTTGAAAAATGAAGGAAAAATGGTGGAACAACGCCACAAAATGTCTGATTCTTTTCAAAATGGGGAAAATTGACGTTTTTCCTAAATAACTGACGTGAAGGCAAAAAAAACGACATTTTCTTCTTATTTCCCCTTTGTTCGCCTTTATTTCCACTTTATTGGTTGCTTATGGTATTGCTGCATATTTATACACAAAATATTTATTTCTCAATCTCCCTATTGTGGATAAAATTTTGTCCGTTTTGGGGAAATAGCACAAAACCCCAATTTTCCTCAGAATCTAATAACACTTCTAGGAAATCTGTCCACATTTATTGAATGGTGAAATAATCATTTATGCAACTATATATAACTCAAAAGACTTTTAAAAGTAAACCTGAGTACTAATCTGGTGTGCCAGAAACTGTGGCATCGTATCAAAGACATTTCTACCGGTCCTGACCATTCTGGTAAACTGAGAAAAGTGGATTCAGTCTTGGCTTAGACTAATTTTCTCAGATTCGTTAAGTCCAGGTACAGTACCGAACAATCGGAGGCTGACTTGCATTACACTAAGCTTCATAAAAATCGGACGCAGCGAATTTTCAAGTTGTCGACCGGTAACACTTCATTCAATGCCCTCAAAACTCAAGGAGTCTCTGACATATGATGGTATACGTGACTACTTGTTTTCAATGAACTTCTTTTTACCCCCGACAACATGATCACTTTTGTATAACCAAATTGTCGACCGCGGTGGACAGATGGACAACCACCCTTGATCACGAGGGGAGGGCTGTTGTCATATACCCTGACCTCTGAAAAGCTTTGGATAGTGTTAATCGTGTATACCTTATCAATAAGCACAAACGATTAGGCGTCAAGTCACTGTTTATTGATTGTCTGGCTTCATGTCCAAATAATTAACGATTTAGGGCCAGGACAAACTTCGCTTGTCCTCAGGCTACAGAATGTCATAGTTGGATCCTTCAAGGTTCATTACCAGGACCTCTTCTTTTCTTGATTTGTATAAACGGTCTTCTACAACAAGTACTGCTTGACTTATTACTTTTCGATGACGATGTGAAACTTTGGAGAGAGAGATACGCAACCAAGAGGACATACTGGCATTTCAAGCAGGTCTGATTGGACTTCAATGTTGAGGATAACAATGGACTTACTTTCAACACATCAATGTGTAAAGTAGTCTATCTGAGATATGTCGCAGATTGATCATACAGCTTAGGAGACTCCGCTCCAGAGGTATCTCGAGTTGAAGGCGATTCGGTAGTTTTGTACCTTATGATTTGAAGTCTTATGCCAACTCCAACAAAAATATCTTCCAAGCAAACAGAGCTCTGGTAACGTTGAAGCGCACTGGAAACCAGTTTGACGATGGAACTCTCCACTCGATCCTCAACAACTTTATTTGACCCCATCTATAGTGTGGAATAATAGTGTTTCTTTACTCATTCCAAAAGGATAGCAATACACTGGAACGTATACAAAGGCGAGAATATCTCGCCTATTCTCAGTTCGGGTGCTCGAATTCAAATCTTATGGAGAGCTTCTCAAGTCATTGAATCTTTACCCACAAGAGTATAGACGCCTCAGAGGTGACTTTTCGATGCGTTTTAACATACGGAGCACCCTATCAAATATTTTCATGGGCTCAGTGTGGACACAAGCTTTAAAAGCAGTATCTAAAAGTTATAATCATGACATAACAAAACGAACTGTCGGTACATCTACCCTCTAAGTGTGGTAAAATCCTGGAATTCACTTTCATTTAAAGTAGTCCAAGCAACTTCCCAGGAGTCCTTTAAGAACAAGCTTTACATATTCTTAAGGACTTAATACAGTATCTCAGTACGATTTACTTATATTTTTTTTATTATCAGTAACTATACCTATGTCCCTATCTGGAAGCATCAAAGATTCACCGTTACTAGATATGGAAATCCGTTAAGGAAGGGCTTGTTCTATTTCATCCATAACCATCTGAACCACTCTCTCAACTCACATTTTTATTAAACGTAGAGTTATGACCTATTTATTGATTGCAACTATCCATTGTTGATGTTCTTCATAAATTCCGAATCGAATGTAATTTGCGTCACACGTTTCTGTCATTTTATTAAACTATATACTGTATTTGACACTCCATGTATTTTGTTAAGCCTTAAGAATTCTCAAAAAACTAAGTAGATTAGTTGTTTAAAGTAAGAACTATAAGGATTTGAGAGTAATTGAACAGTAATAGACTAAATTAACTGAGAATATTTTAGTCCTTCACCAGTGAAATTATGAGTAATACCTAGCTTTTTCATAAGAGTATATGCTAATAGATTTAACATGGGATCTTTCAGTCTGAAGGGAAGGAATCAAAGGCGTATGTTAAATATTTTGGTATGCGGTTTTGTTTATCTAGTTTGTTTTTGAGTTAATCAGTCAAATGGTGTGATAGTTTCTTTTAGTAGTATGTCCCAGGAGTTGGTTACTCTTTAGACTAATTTATGATGTTGTAGAATGTGGTATGTCTTGAGCTTTTGAACTTTTCCTCTACCGGTTCTTGGTTTCTTTAATTTAAATAGTCTACGAAAAAAGGATAACCTCCATGCTTATTACGAGATAGATTCGGTACAAACAGGAAAATTCTATCACCTTATTCTAACAGCTTAAACCTTTTCCTATGGGCTTGTGTATTACTAATGCTTGATGATACTACCCAGACATAATTTCGGCTAAACTTTAGAAGTAACCTATCACGGCATATGTTGGCATTTATCAGGTGAATACTCACTATTTTTTACGTTTCATGCCTACATTTTAAACATTTGTGAATACTGGACATAAACCACGGATGTAGATCTGAATGTTTTGTGTGCAGAAGACACCACAAAAAAGCTTGCCTGAAAAATTATGCCGTTTATACAGGTAAAA